CTCCCCCACCCCACGTTGATTCAGTTCTGCTGGTGTTACAAGTAGATCACGTTATCAGTCCACCACAGGTGGCCTATGAGATCCATACCACCCCACCCGCAGAGCTCTGGAGCCTTCTACCCCAGCCTCCGAGCCCAGCAGTACCTGCCTCCTACTTCTTCAAATACCCAAACCATCCCTAACACAGTACCATTTGTCCTAGTCTCCTAAACAGAAAACTCTCTGGAGTCTTTTCCCCCTAAATGATCTATTATTCATTTTTAGAATTGTCCTCCTATAAAATTGAATATTTCAGATTCCACACATAACTGAAATCATGTAATATTTTACTTTCTGTGCCCAGCTTATTTCTCTTAGTATAATATACTCTCAGTTCACCTGTGTTTTCACAGGAGGCACAATTTCCTTTGTTTTAAAGTTGAAAAATATATCACATTTTCTCTGTGTTATTTTGGTATCTTGGCTCTGTGAATAATGCTGCCATGAACATGGGTGTACAGACACCTTTTCAAGACTCTGATTCACTTCCTTTGGGTGTATACCAAGAAGCAGATTGCTGCGTTATAAGGCAGCTCTTGTTTTAAGTTCTGAGAAGCATCCATGTTGGCTTCTCCATAATTGTACCAATGCACATTCCCATCAATAGCATACAAAGAGTTATTTTGGTCAATTCCCTATCAACATTCGTTCTCATTTGTCTTTGATAATAGCCATTTTCACAGATGTGAGACATCTGTGACATCTCAGTGGTTTTAACTTGCATTTCCTAAAGCATTTGTGGTGTTGAGCACCTTTATGTATACCTGCTGCTTATTTTATTTCTTTGGAAGATGTCTGGTCAAGTCCATTGCCCATTTTTAAGTAGCTTTTGGTGGGGAGGTAGTTTGTCTATGATGTCAAGTTATATGAGTCCCCTGGATTTTTTTAATTAATCATTCATCTGATGCCTGACTTGTATATATAAGTCTGTGAGTTTCCATTTCACTCTGTGGGTGAAAGTTTTTAAATTTCATGCAATCTCAGATTCTTTTTTTTGTTTTTGTTGCCAGTGCTTGTGTTGTCATCTCCACAGTTCACTCATCCTTTCTTATCTAATGACAGCACTCATAGAATGTTTCAACTTTCCTTATTTGCTCAAAACTATATTTATAAACCCAAGTCTTTTCCTATAAGCAAAAGTGACATTCAGCTTTCCGGCACCCAATTCTCCACTCATTTTTTCTTCCAGTAATGTAAGAGATCTTTATATCCAAATTGTGTTTCCTCTGTGGGTTATCAGGCCTGCCACTTTCCCTTGAATGATAAGAAAGGTGACCAAGAAGCAGAGTCCCGGGCCGCAGGTTACTTTTTCATTGCAGTACCTGAACAAAAATCTTAATTCAGCAAAGTGGCTTCCCAGTCTGCCTGGTTCCTTCTCATTCAGACTGAGAGAGAGAAATTTGCCTATCAGAAAATTACATTCTAAAATATTCATTTATTTGTAGATCATTGTTAACTTATAAAATGCCTGAGCAAGGAAGAATTCTAGTATTTACTGAGCCCCTGCTACAGGTCTACCACCTTGTTAAGGGCATTCTGTGTCCTGTTTTATTTAATCCATAGAGGGATTCTATAAATTAAATATTTTCTTCTAATATTCCACATTACAAAAATTCAAAGGATACAGTAACTTCTCAAATTAAGGCACATTGTAAATACTATACTCTCCAGGTGTCTCAAAGTAGAAATCATTCTCTTGCTTCTGAACTAGAAATTCTTTTTTTACAAAGAATTTCCTTTGCTTAGCTATTGGCCTATGACAAACTCTTCAACTGTATCACTCACTGGTTTGAAATCATAAGGCCTTTTTCTGAAAAGTTCTTTCATATTTATATGCTATTTAAGGGATAAGGACTTCCTAAGTTTCCCTAAGATAGATAGATAGATATTTCAATACATTTCTAAAATTTGCACAGAGTTCTAATTCAGTGTCCTACTAATATTGAAATGTTACACCAAGCTGCTTGATGCACACTGACACAAAACCAGTAGAATTTTAGCGTTTTATATCTTGGTTATTGACATAACAGAAGAGTAGCTCTCATTCAATCACTGCCACTATTTTCACATTTTATTTGTAAAATCATCATCATTGGGTATTAGCAACAGAGGCTAAGAATATTGGCTCCTCTGCTGCCATGGGCCCAGAGGAGAAGCCACACCCCACAACCCCATCACCACTGGCGGATCACGCGTATGTCACAGCCTCACACCTCTCCACCACCCTGGGCACCTCAGATCAGAGGAATCCAGGTGCCCAGCCCAATCCTCTGCCACAACGGATGGGCTGCCAATGCAGGAATCACCTGGGATTGATTCAGAGGGACACAGGAAAATGTCAAGATAAGGGAGCAAGATGCATTCTCAGACCTCCAGCCCACCCTGAGCAAGTCCAGAGACACAGACACAGAAGAATTTAGAAGGCACACACCTGAACTTTCTAAAATGATAGCAACTGAAGTAAAGAAACTACTTATGGGCCAGGGATTTAGCTTAGTGGCATAAGCACTTGCCTGGCAAGTGCTAGATCATGAGTTCAATCCCTGGTACCAGAAGAGAAAAAAAAAAGAATAGAAACAATTACAATTTAGTGCTTGTATTGTTTAACTTTGCATGCCTACGTTTCCTAGTCTGAGCAACCAGTTAAAGGATAACAATGTGCAATATAGTAATGATTGTTAGTTTCCTACTGTCTTATTTTGAAGTCCAGTATCATTCTCATTGAATTTTTCATTGTTTTGTTTTGTTTTATTCTCTTTAAAATGAAGGAAAATTCCTGAACTTAAAAAAAAAAGAGAGTATTGGCTCCTGAGTCCAAACCCTTTTGCTGTGCCCATGGAAAATTGCTCATCCTTTCTATCTCTTAGTTTCTTCTGGGTGTTGTTTCCCATACAATTAAAGGAGGTATATGCCAGGCACTTTCAATAGTTAATATTTCTCTTTTGCTTTTCAAGACAGGGTCTTGCTATGCGGTTCAGGCTGGCCTTGGGCTCCCTTTGTAGCCCAGGCTAGTCTTGAACTTGCAACAATTCACCTGCCTCAGCCTTCCAAGTACTGGGATTACAGGAGTGCACCACCACACCCAGCTCAATATCATTATTTTAACTTACTGGTGTAAGATTATTTAAGTCAAGAGTGCATAGAAATGCATATTAGCATACTCCTAGTTTTTAATTACCCACTAAAGGAAATTTAAATGCCTCTGTCTTAGTTACTTTCTTATCCCTGAGACATGATACCTAACACTCACAACTGTAAAAAGGAAGGATTATTTTGGCTCACTGTTTATAGAAGTTTCAGTCCATAAGTGCCTAGCAAGACTGGGCAGCATGGCAGAGGGAAATAGGAGAGGAGAACTAGCTCCTGGCCTGGCAGGCAGAAAGCAGAGAGAGAGCAAGGGAGGAAGAAAAAGGAGATAGACTCTTCCAGGCCACACCCTCAGTGGCCATCTCCTCTACCAGCCTATGCCCCCCAACATCCTAACTAGTTATAAACTCATCAGTGCACGAATCCACTGATGAGCATCACACCCCTGTGATCTACTCACTTCCCCAAAACCCCACCTATGAGTGCACAAGGTTTGGGGAACCATCTAGATATAAAGCATAACAACTCTCTCCTCTCTTTCTCTCCCACTTTGCTTCCCAGTTGCTACAAAGTAATCAGCTTTGCTCCACCACAGGATCCCCACCATGGTGTTCTTCCTCACCACAGGCCCAAAATGGACAAAGTCAGCCAACTATAGACTAAAAACCTCTGTAACTGTGAGCCAAAATAAACATTTCCTCTTTTGAAGTTATGTATTTCAGATATTTTCCATAGCAACAGAACACTAACACCATTATTGGCCCACATACATCTTAACTCCTCGGCGACACTGTGTTCTCCAGAGAACAGGAACCCTGTGTAAATGATACTGGTTAGTGACCTCCTGTGTCGCTGAGCGGTTTGCATTTAGGAAATTCTTTGTAAGAATTAAAGACAATAATTGTAGCTATGCTTTGGGAGTTGGTATAGTTTCTCATACTCTAGTACACAAGAAAATAATTATTTTCATGGCTGGGCTTTGGTTGGGATCAGAACACCATTATAGACTTCGCAATCTGCAGTGTTCAAGTTATTTCCCTGATAATGAGAATGAAACTGGAAATTTTAACTACAAATTCACAAATAAGAATTTAATAAGTTCTAGAAATCTTCTTGCACAGAAATTTAATAGGCACTTTGCAAGTGGCCAAAGTCCAAAGTTAAAGATGGTCAAGATGAGAGCCTGACAGGTGCTGACCCTGCACGGGGGACCAGTGTCATGAATCATTCCTGCCTTTTGCTGCACTAATGATCTATACTCACACTGATTGGCAAGGGCTCTTCCATGTCTAGGAATCGACTTAGGTCACTCGAGATCTTTATTTTAATGATGATTGATGTCTAAAGTGGCTCCCTAGCAAAAGTTTCTCTGCTCTGACATTCAAAATTCTATGTCGCAAGCTTCAAAAAAATGTGCCACATTGTGAAGACCAGTGGGAATTTAAATCGGCTAAGTACATCTTTGCTCCTTAGTAAATTAGAGTTAAAAGTTTGGGGAAGGGGATACACCTGCCAAAGATCAATCCTGTTTATTACATAAGAATGAGACACAACTACTTAACTTTCTTCCTTGAAAAGCAAAGTAGTTTGGTAATCTTGAGTAATCAAGTAGAGCCAAACTTAGAATATTTTAAAGTAAATATTATTCTTCCCATCTGGTTCAGCATCTCAACTTTAAAAGAAGTTAATGTAAACCAGGTGTGGTGGCTCATGCCTGTAATTCCAGGACTCGGGAGGTTGAGACAGGAAGATTGTTGCTAGTTTGAGATCAGCCTGGGCTACAAAGTGAGCTCAAGGACAGTGTGAACTGCACTGTGAGACCCTGTCTCAAAAAGACAAGAAAAAAAATTAATGTAAAACAAAGATTAGAAGTCTTGTCTTTTGTGGTGATGTTTTATTTCCCTCCAAAATGTTGGTTCACAATGTACAGTTCCATTTATTTCTTTCTGTATTGGAACAGGAAAGTGACAGAAAAGATGAGCACACTATATGAAAGAAGTAATTATTTTTGTACGTATGAACTATGTGGAAGTAGAAGCTGTAGATATAAGCACACACTGAACCTATAACTGGCATAGCATTACTTCCTTAACTGTCTGTTGATCAAAAAAAGTTATAGGGCCTCCATGATTTAAGTGAAAAGAGAAATAGACTGCATTCTGATGGGGGTTTGACCAGGCAAATCTGTTATTAATATAAACATAGCTCTGTATATTTAAGAAAAAATTGAATATACATGTACACACACACATGTATATGTTTGGATATATGAATCCTGTTAAAAATATTTGCCTCTCAATATGGAGAATTCAAAGAACTAAAGTTATCTGAACAACTAAAATTTAAATGTCAGAATTACAACACATATTTACTTGTTGCTTTTTTCCATTTTTAAAATTCTTTTAAAGAGTATTAAAGAAACATGGAGAAGGGGAAAGGAAAAGAATTAAGATGTGTTATGTACATGTTCCAACTGCCCACAATGAATGGAATCATTACATTCCAAACATGTAATGTGTATATATACATCTGTATATGAATGTGCTTACAGATTCATATTTGCCCATTACAAATCCATAGCATCTTTTGTTTGTTCTATTTTCCCAACAGCTAATATATTTTTCATTGGAAGAAATTCAATTTGATTTATCAAATATCTATTGGTATCTTACTATATAAAGCTATTCAACATTTAGACAACGAGTCAACAACATATCAGACTCTAAAATTCCCTGACCTCATCCTTATCCTCTTTATGGGAATCCATTACTAGCTCTTCATGGTGGAAATCTTTGTTAACTGTACTCATCCTGTTGATTCTATTATTTGGATCATGCATACTTCATTGTTTCTTTGCCTGTGTCATCTCCAGATTTAAAACTGTATACTTACACAAGATGAAAATGCCTGGTATCTACTGAGGGCCTTGAGATTGACCCTTTTTAGATTATCGCTGACTGCCCACCAACAACTATGACTCCCTTCAACCTAAAGAAGCCAGTTCAGTCATTGACCATTACTCCTTCAGGGCAGTTTGTAATACTTCCTCAGAGAGGAGAATGCTATAGGCAGCTGAGTTAGATAGAAATATTATAGGCAGTCAGACAGGGTTGGCTCCTGAAAGGAGATACCTTACAACCTTGTAAGGTTACTCCTTACCAGGATCTCAAGTATCTCAAGGAGATACAAGGTATCAATCTTGTAAGATACCTTACAACCTTGGAGACAGATACCTCCCACTGTGAGTCAAACCTTGAGAAAAAAGATAAAACAAATGCAACCATATACTTCTTAGGATAAACATCAGGGACTGATATTCTAAATAGGTATCCATCACCTTGAGGAAGCCAGAAGGAGCCACTAACCAAATTCCTTACAGGAAAATGCCCTGTTCATGCCCACTTGCTACATGACTCGCTTCCCCATTTGTCCCTAATTTAATCAATTTTACCTGAACAGTTACACTTGTGATCTTATTGTTTGACCACAGTTCTGTCCCACCTCATGCCCACCTTGCAATTTCCCATTTTTCTCCACCTTGGACTGGCTTCACCTCATGGATTTGCTCTATAAAGTCCTCTAAAAAAGGCAGGGTCTTTGGCAACAGGGTCAGGACCCCTTCTGTCTGTCTCTCAGATAGAAGTTTTCTTTCTCTCAAGAAATATATTCTGCTCTTTAAAAAAATAAAGTAAAATAAAGCACAATAGGATGGATGAGGGAGGCTAATTTGCCAAAACACTGGTGACTTTGAAGGAGGTGAGAAGGACCAAAGCACAACCACAGGACCAGGCAGAGGGAGGAAGTGTCCTGGAGACCAGCGGCCAGAGGTTCTCATCCTGATCTGCAATTCAACACCTCCACAGGCTTGAGCTAGCTTCATCTGAAAAATAATAGTAAGCACGTGTTACAAGAGGATTAAATAAGTAAATATGTGTAAACTGTCATGTGCAATGACACGAGTATGAGAATAACTATTATTATTATTAGAAATAGTACAAGTGCTATGATGTTCAGTGAAAAAGATACTACAGTCAATTTAGAGGGTTAGAAAATGTTTCAGAAAACACTGTACAGCATTTGGAACTGGGTTTTTTAATGGCCTCATTTTGAGAAGTGTGGAAGGAAAGGTATCCAGGTAGAGGAAGGAAAGCTTAAAGCATGGTATAGAGTAGCACATCAGTACTGCTTCACAGAGTCATGAGATGCTTGTACTGGGGAAAAGAAGGAGGCGTCTACCGAAGTGTCAGTGGGAAAACTCACACCGCACAGGGAAGACTTTAACAGGAAGCTGGCTCCAAGAATGGACAATTGTCAGAGAACTTCAAACACACATATTGACAAGAAACAAGAACATCCAGGCCACTCCCAAAGAGAAGGCAACAGATCACTAATCTAACCTTATAATCAAAGATGGAGTGTATCTTGGGAGAAGTGGAAACTTGAATTTAAGTGAAACATCCACATAGGCAATCAGATATATTTCCAAACTAGGGGTTGTGGTACCCACCTATAATTACAGCACTCTGGGACGCTGAGACAGGAGGATTGCAAATTTGAGATCAGCTTGTGCAATTTAGTAGCTTTGTAAAATCCTGCCTCCCAATAAAAATGCCATAAAGAAGTAAATGAAAAGGCCTGGGGATGTAGCTCGGTGTAAAGGTTCTGGGTTTAATCCTTTGGAGGAAAGGTTCAGTACTTTGGAGAGGAGGAGAGGGGAGGCAGGGGAAGGGAAGAGAAGGGAAGGGGAGGGAAGGGAAGGGGTGAAGAGTGAGGAGAGGAGAGGAAAAAAGAGGAGAGGAGAGGAGGGGAAGGGAGGGGAGGAAAGAGGAGGGGAGAGGTGAAGAGATGAGAAAAGAGGACAGGACAGGAGAGAAGAGGGGAGGGGAAGAGAAGGGAGGAGAGGGGAGGGGAGAAGAGGGAAGTAAAGAAAGAAGGAAGAAAGGGAAGGGGAGGAAAAAGATAGGAGAAGAGGAGAAGAGAGGAAAACAAGTTTCCAGCTGACCCATAAGAAAGTCTACACCCGATAGCATGATCAAAACATTGAGTTTGTAGCCTTTGCTTGAAACACCTTTTGGAATCTGAAATATTATTAAACAAGTAACTTTCCCATAATTAATAATTCATTATTTGAAATACTGAAGCCCTCATTTATGATATCTGATTGACATTTTTATAACACCTCAGAGATTCCTTTTATAAGAACAAAGCAAAAAGTGTTCAGCAATTACCCCCAAAAAATGTGTTTCCCCATTGGCTATCTTCACCACAGATGCACAGTGATGGGGCTCCTAGGTATCAGAATCCTTGTTTGTAGTGGCTAACACCCCATATTCCTTTTCACTTTGAAGAGGCCCTATCTGGAGGAAGATGAGAAGAACTGGACTGTTTGTGTTCTAATCAAATGCTGCAACCCCAAGATTACTATCAGGGCATAATGTGTATTGCTCTATTTTTCTTTTTTCTTTAATTTTATTTAAGGAGAAAAAGAAAAAAAAGCAGAAAAAGGGTACAAGTTATACAGAATTTCAGAAAAAAATAAACAGTAGGAAATCACTAGTTAATGGATTTCATATTTCATCTTAGAAATATTTGTTCAAGTTACAAAATTAAAGCATATAAAGTGGACATTCAAACAGTGAGACTGCAAACAGTTCTGTTCAATGAGCCAACAAAACTCAGTAATATCATTGTCTATCTTATACACTTAAATATACATGCAGTAATATCATTTAGAGCACTTTCTTTTCCTCTCTTTTGTACAATGACTATTACACATTTTGGATTTTACAACTCCCACAGTTCTTGTTACTTTTTTGGAAGAAAGTAAAACCAAATGTGACATTCCAGAACAGAGTTGGTCAAATCAAAAGGGTGGACATAATAGATAATGTAAAAACATAATACAAGGTGATCAACAATGGTTACCATAATGCCTCCCGCTATTTCCAATAGAATTGCCTATATCATCAGTTATAATAAAATTGAACAAAACAGTAAATAATGAAACCAACAGAAACAAAACATTGCAGATATTACAGGTCTTCAAAAGTAGATAATAGTCAACCAGAATGGGCGTCATAATGAATCTCACTATCTTCACAGCTGTTGCCTAAACTTTCAAACCTGGTACTATCAAGCAAAACAAAATAGAGGAACATCAGTCAAAACAAGATGGTGAGAGCAATACAGGGCTTCAAGTCAAGTTAATAGAAAATCAAAGTGGGTTACTATAATATATCCTGCTATTTTTTTATTTATTTTTCCCTTAATTAAAAGGATAAAAATAAAAAAGTAAATAATAAACTCGAGATTGAGATAAAAGAGGGCATAACAACAAAACAGCGCAGATCAAAACATAACCATTTAAGCAAAATAGTGTTTCACCACAAGATAATCCTGACATAAAAGTAGTTACTATATTATCTCTTTCCTTGAAATCTTTGAGTATAACTTCGTATACTAAAGCATCAAATATATCAAAACAATGTAAAACCATTCAAGAGAATGACAGTATTACAGGGTATTTAGAATCAACTAACAGAAAATGAAAAATGGTTTCTGTATAATCTCCTTGTCTATAAAAGTTTTTGTTTATACTATCACATATAATAAAATCAAATAAGATACAGCATGTTAAGACCTATGGAGACAGAAGAACAAAAGCTTGATGAGACTTCAAAACAAGATGATATTAAATCAGCATTACCTATTAGGACATCATTTTCTCCAAAATAGCTGTTCCTATCATCCAATCTTCTCTGCCTCATTTCTGTTCAGCTCTTTTTATGTCATTAGTTGTCAGTTTGTCTTCTTCATTTTGTTTTCTGCTCCATTCATTGTGGCCTCTCTGCCACCTATTTCTGGATTCTTCGTATTTTTCTTTTTTAGAATATCCTGCAGTATTCTCTGTAGGGTTGAATTGGTGGTTGCATATTCCCCTAGTTCCTCTTTATCCTGGAAGCACCTTGTTTTTCCATCAATTTCCAGGGATAGTTGTGCAGGATATATCAATCTTGGCTGGAGGTTATTATCTTTCAAAGCTTGAATTATTTCCCCCCACGCTCTTCGTGATTTGATGGTTTGTGCAGAGAAGTCTGCTGTAATTCTGATGGGTGTTCCCTTGTAAGTGATCTGTTTCTTGTCTCTGACAGCTTTTAATATTCTGTTCTTATATTGGATTTCTGGAATTTTGATTATTATATGCCTGGTGTATCTCTGTTTGGGTTGTAGGTAGCCGGAGTCCTGTATGCCTCATATATCTGAGCATCTTTACCATTTGCCAAATTAGGGAAATTCTCTTGGATCATTTCTGTGAATAGCTTTTGTAGTCCATGTGTTTGTGTCCCCACTTCTTCTCTTATGTTCTTAATTCTTAAGTTATAGATCCTCTTATCATCTTCTAGTTTTTGTATTGTTGCTGTTTAGGTTTTATTTTTGTTGTTGTTGTTGTTATTTTTAAGAAGTTTTTCATTTCATGCTCCTATATTACAAATCTGCCCTCCAGTTCAGATAATCTGTCCTTAGTTTCTTTCAAGCTGTTATGCCAGTTTTCGATAGAATTTTTAGTTTCCTGGAAATCTCTTTGAACCTGCTTTACGTATTCTATGTTTTCTCTATTTTCTCCATCAAACAATTCTCCCTTTTTTTTCTGTTCTTCCATTCCACCATCTGTTTTTTCTTGGGCGGTGCTTAGCATTTCTCTAACTATTCTGCTTATGTCTTGCTTCAGGTCATTAATAACTTCATTCCTGAACTCGTCTATGAGGCTCTGGAGATAGCACTTTGTGTTTATTGGTGCCGTGTCTACTATTGCCTGTTTCTCAGGATTGGGGGCCAAGGACCCTTTCTTGCTGCTCCCTCTTCCCATATTCTTTGTTCCTTATATTTAAGCATGTATAGGAGGCCCAGCTTCCTTCCCTGTTGGCCACAGTCTGTTTGAATTGTGCCAGCTAGGTGTTCCCACCCACCACAGCCACCAGGGAGACACAGACCTGGGTAGCCTATGGTGGGCCTGCCCCTCCAGGTCAACCTACCGAAGGCTTCACTGCTAGGGTGCCCCTCTAGGTGCTGGGAGCTGGGTTGAGCTAGCCTATTGGGTCTCAGCCAGCAGCGTCAAGCAGGCCAGGCACTCCCCACCAATCCCGCTTGAGAGGAGGATATGTGACTGAAGTCACTGCAGCTTCTTGTTCAGGGTAGTCTGCCTGGTCTGAGTATGTCCTCCACTGAAGCCTCCTTCTTTATGGAAGGGTCACGGTTGGCTCACTCACCACGGGTTGATGCAGGGCACCTGGCCAGTCCTGCTCTGAACTCCTTTCAGTGCTTTCCATTCTCCAAGCTTTTGCGCCTATCTCCTCGATGTGCAGACCGAGACGCAACAGCAGCTGCAGGTAATTCAAATCACAGTTTCCAGTGGTGTGGGTCTGGCTTCCGTGCTGAGACCTTATCTGTGCCTGCTATATCACCAGGATTGCGTTTCCAGATGGTTTCTCTTAATTTAGTTCGTTCCTGGGTCAACAAAGAATATCCCACCTTACCTGGGACTTCCTGCCCGGCACCATTCCTAGATTTCAAGTGCGGTATCTCAGAGAGCCTCAGAGACTGCTGCTATCTATCCGTCATGTTCTTCCAGTCTCTATTTTTCATTAATGAAGAAATGAGTAAAAGAAGTTAAATTATCACATTAAATTGCTCATCAAATTGTCAGACAAAGGGGCTACATGGCTTTGTTTAAGCTCTAAAAACCAGAAAATATTATCATTTCTTTACATGGAGAAGGGGAATAATAACAGCATCTTCCTCACGGTATGATTTTGAGTATTCAGAGAGAAAATCCATACAAGTGCTGAGCACAGTGCATGGCCATAAATACACCCTGCTATT